CTCAAAAAACCCGCCGAGATGCCATCCTTATTCTATAAATGGTCTATAATCAAGCTGTCCACCGGTAGAGCTTTTAATTCATTTCCATGGTCTCTCTCTTCCGTTTTCCTTTTCTATAATGTTCCAAAAACTCGGTCATTCTATCCATTACTCCACTTTTTACTACGGATCGAAATCGTCCAGCGACATCCAAAATGACGTAGAAGTCAACATACGGCTTCCCTCTAGATACTGTTTTTAAACGAGCAATAATTATTAATTGCCATTAATTTTAGAAATGACCCTTCTATGCCATCTTTCAATCGCCAATTGTACGTGAAGCTCAGACAATTACGCAAGAGGCTGAAAATTATTGCATTAACAAGCTTCATTTGCGTATTTCTTTGTCTTGTGTCTAATCGAACTCAAGATGAATGCAGTCAAGTTACCCTGCTTTATACCGGAGAGAAATGAACGAAAACGAAGGGGATAAGTTTCGAATGTCATAATTGCCTCCCTTTAAATTTTCCTGCTGAAGGACAATTTTATTGACGCTGTTGATTTGAATACAGAGCTATCAGGATTAAACCTCAGAGAAATAAAGGCCGAGGCTTTAGGCGAAGAAAAAAATCTGTACGCATTCATTTGCAGCTTCTCGTCACTGAAAGTCATACTGATCGTTGTCATCCATTCACAAAGCTTCCTCAGTATGCTGGTCTCGTCATCTTCTTCTGATCTTGAGATGAGCTTAGTTCTTGTTATCTAATAGGATCAGGGGAAACGGGTTATGCCATTGCAAACTGAGTTAGGAAAAGGGAAAAATAATGAAAGGAAGGAAGTACACCACAACTAACTTTAGACTAAAGCTGAAAAACATTATACGGATCTGAAGTTAATTTTCCACCTTCAACCAGTATCAGTCGCTCTCGTCTAAATTCCCTGACACCACCTTAGCCGTGGGTGGCAACAACAGAAAACACGTACATATTTGCCATCGCGTGCTCACTGGAGGCCGCACAACATGTTTATTGAATAAAACTAAAACAGCAACATTTTGTTTACCCATTCAATTTCAAAACATAGCTATTAGGACTAGACTTCACTGAAATATATAAAGGCCGAGATTTTAAGCAGAATTGTGCAAGCGTTCATTTACAGCTTGTCGTCGTTGACAGCCACAGTGATAATCGTCATACATATATTTACTCCAGTACTCCGTTGTCTTGGATCGGATGTAACGCAATCGACTTTCATCATTTCATATGAATCGTTTGGAAATACCGTCGCTACATCCTGGATTCGTTGTAATTTATACCATAGTATTCCCGAAAACTGATTTTGATGGCCCAGTTTAATGTCTGTTGAAGATTATGCGATTTCTTGTCGGTAAAAAATGATTCCTCCAGAGCTTATTTTCAGTTCATCCGTACTTTGCTAATGATTACTAAGATACTAGGAGTTGGTCAGTTTCATAAACTCACCCTTATCACTGTCCAAAATGTATCCACTCGGACGAATTAACGAACCTATATTTATTTAATCTAAGAGTAATTATAAAACTATTCTAAAATAACTTTAATGAAACTTGATGTGCAAAAAAAAGGTGCAACCGTTTCTTGGACAGTCTATAGTAGATAGAAATCACAAATCTTCTGTTCCTTGAATTCGGATATTACAAGTGGAATCATGCAAACTCTGTGAACCACTGTAAACACATAAACATATTTATGAAGTATTACACGTACAATTTATAAACATCACAACAAATTTTAAACTAAGATTTTTTGCTGATAGCTACGATCATTTCTCGCGAACATCGACAGTGGACTGGTTGTTACACATTCAGAGGCAGTCATTTAACATTTTTCTCAGTCCTCTGAATTACGCCCCAAAGAACGAAACTCAAATGTTTTTTTTTTGCTTTTAGTGCTTTTTCCTTTGTTTGTTTGTTTGATAGCCTTTGCAGCAGCATTAGCAGCAGCATTAGCAGCAGCATTAGCAGCATTAGCAGCAGCATTAGCAGCATTAGCAACAGCATTAGCAGCAGCATTAACAGCAGCACTAGCAACTTGCTTTATTTTTCCACTTTCTTTTATAATAGCTTCAAATTTGTCTGAGTCATGTAAACTGATGTACAAGTCACCATCAGCCTTCCTCATTTGTAGATCATCGATAATGCATTCAGGGATACAGTTATTTCTATATTTATACTTTACATCGTTGTCTTCAAACGATACCTTTCCGTTGCGAACACGAGTTTTTAATAAAAGCTTTTTTCCAGTATCAAGCTGTATTTCCTCATCCAACGTAAATTGTTTCAAATTGTGATCAACATGACACTCAGTTGACCCATTACTGAGCTTAATGACTCTTACTCCAACTAAAGGTTTGTTCCAGAATTTGTATAACAGCCTCTCTTGGATGTCACTAGGAACTTGAAATTCAGGGTCCCCTATTTGAAGGTCCTCTTTCCGATAAGATATCTCTCCGTGACGAACGAAACTTCTTAGGACAACAACAGGAGGGGGTCTTTCTGAGAACTGTGTCCCCAGGACCAGCTGCTGACTATTTTGAGCACTCATCTCATCAATGCTTTTCCTTTCTGAGGAATTCCTTTGAGGATAGTTTTCGCTTACTTTGTATGAATATTTGGACAACAAGTAAGCGTTTACATCCTGTTCTTGAGGGATAGACTGTGCATTTGGCGTAGAACATGGCATTTTAAGACTCAAAACATGGTACAAAATATCTGGATCTACGGTCAGCTTTCCATTGTTTACTTTCACAACAAACGTTTTCTCTAGTTTATTGATTTGCCCAATAAACTCATCGCATGTGTTTGTTGTTGATTGCCCATTGCAAACCAAGATAATGACTTTTTTAACTGTGAAAAGAAAAAAGGAGAAAGCTAAGTAAGTCGCTCGATACGGCATGATATTTACTTAGTTAAGAGGATCAAAAGCACTTCATTCTACTCAAGTAAAATCTCAAGTTAAGACTGCTTTGTTAATTTCTTCACACCTATTTAGTCGTTATTCAATTCCAATCATACATATTGTGTTTCAAGAATTGAGCTGAGTTGTTCGAATACTATCAGCACCGGCACCCTTTCTGTCACTATGTCAGTTTAAAACTAACATAGTGACAGAAAATCTATAAACAGCTAACAAAGCATTAGTGTTAGTCGTGTTTCGAAGAACTATGGCCGATTCAGGTTCTATAGTCTGGAGGGGGCTTAGAGCTGCCTAAATATTTGTTACTATGCCTGTGCTTATAGAAGTTCAGTAAATGCATAAAGGTTATCTACATTTACGAAAAAAATGATCTCACTACAAAAGAGGAGGAGCTGCTCACGGTCAGTGGGATGATCATCCCTTTCCTAGACCTCCCCTACACGCTCTCCTAGAAAATGATTTATCAACTCAAGCGGTAAAGATTGTCTTTTTGTCAGACAAAGTGAGTGTTTTTTATTAAATGCATCGAAATACAACGAAATTATTCAGGGGATAAAAAATAAGGTAATGAGAAAAAAAACGTGATATGAAGGATTTTTATGAGATTAACTTATCAGTTCAATTTGAAGACTTACCGACTTTATCCACTGCAAGTCTTACAAGTCGCTGTAATTCCTTTGATCTTTCATCGTCACAACCATCCCTCACGGTATAACCGTCCACCACCAACACAGAGAATCCGAAGTGATAGTTCTTCAAATATTCTTCAACTTTGGTGATTGAGAGGTTGCCAACGAAAGGATCCTTTGACAAGTGAAGGCTGGGAAGAACTTTTGCAAAAACTTTTTTCGCATCATC